TGAAGACATAGAAAACCTAAATAGACCCATAACTGAAACAGAAATTGAAACAGTAATAAAGGCCCTCCTAACAAAGAAAAGCCCAGGACCAGAAGGATTCACTGTTGAATTCTAGCAGACATTTAAAGAAGAACTAATCCCATTTCTTCTCAAACTATTCAGAACAATCGAAAAAGAGGGAATCCTCCCAAATTCTTTCTATGAAGTCAGCATCACCTTAATCCCTAAGCCAGAGAAAGATGCAGGACTGAAAGAAAATTATAGACCAATATCCCTGATGAACATAGATGCAAAAATCCTCAATAAAATTCTCGCCAATAGAATACAACAATACATCAGAAAAATCATCCACTCAGACCAAGTGGGATTCATCGCTGGCATGCAGGGATGGTTCAACATTCGCAAATCAATCAATGTGATTCACCACATTAACAGACTGCAAAAGAAAAACCATATGATTATCTCAATTGATGCAGAGAAAGCATTCGATAAGATTCAACACCCTTTCATGATGAAAACTCTAAGCAAATTGGGTATAGAAGGAACATTCCTCAATATAATCAAAGCAATTTATGAAAAACCCACGGCCAGCATCCTATTGAATAGGGAAAAGTTGGAAGCATTTCCATTGAGATCTGGCACCAGACAGGGATGCCCACTCTCACCACTGCTATTTAACATAGTTCTGGAAGTTTTAGCCAGAGCCATCAGACAAGAAAAAGAAATTAAAGGAATACAAATTGAGAAGGAAGAAGTCAAACTATCCCTCTTTGCAGACGATATGATTCTTTACTTAGAGGATCCAAAGAACTCTACTAAGAGACTATTGGAACTCATAGAGGAGTTTGGCAAAGTGGCAGGATATAAAATCAATGCACAAAAATCAACAGCCTTTGTATACACAAGCAATGCCATGGATGAGAAAGAACTGCTAAGATCAATCCCATTCACAATAGCTACAAAAACAATCAAATACCTTGGAATAAACTTCACCAAGGACGTTAAAGATCTCTACGATGAGAATTACAAAATCTTAAAGAAGATTCTTAAAGAAGAATCTTAAATAGAAGAGGATACCAAAAAATGGAAAAATCTTCCATGCTCATGGATTGGAAGAATCAATATCATCAAAATGTCCATTCTCCCAAAAGCAATTTACAGATTCAATGCAATTCCAATCAGGATACCAAAGACATTCTTCGCAGATCTAGAAAAAATGATGCTGAAATTCATATGGAGGCAAAAGAGACCTCGAATAGCTAAAGCAATCTGTACAACAAAAACAAAGCCGGAGGCATCACAATACCAGATTTCAGGACATACTACAGGGCAGTTGTAATCAAAACAGCATGGTACTGGTACAGAAACAGATGGATAGACCAATGGAACAGAATTGAAACACCAGAAATCAACCCAAACATCTACAGCCAACTTATATTTGATCAAGGATCTAAAACCAATTCCTGGAGTAAGGACAGTCTATTCAATAAATGGTGCTGGGAAAACTGGATTTCCACATGCAGAAGCATGAAGCAAGACCCCTACCTTACACCTTACACAAAAATCCACTCAACATGGATTAAAGACCTAAATCTACGACCTGACACCATCAAGTTATTAGAGAACACTAGAGAAACCCTTCAAGATATTGGCACAGGCAAAGAGTTTCTGGAAAAGACCTGGGAGGCACAGGCAGTCAAAGCCAAAATCAACTATTGGGATTGCATCAAATTGAGAAGTTTCTGTACTGCAAAAGAAACAGTCAGGAGAGTGAAGAGGCAACCAACAGAATGGGAAAAATTATTTGCAAACTATGCAACAGATAAAGGGTTAATAACCAGAATCTACAAAGAGATCAAGAAACTCCACAAAAACAAAACAAACAACCCACTTAAGAGATGGGCTAAGGACCTCAATAGACATTTTTCAAAAGAGGAAATCCAAATGGCCAACAGGCACATGAAAAAATGTTCAAGGTCACTAGCAATCAGGGAAATGCAAATCAAAACCACAATGAGGTTTCACTTCACCGCGGTTAGAATGGCTCACATACAGAAATCTACCAACAACAGATGCTGGCGAGGATGTGGGGAAAAAGGGACGCTAACCCATGGTTGGTGGGAATGCAAACTGGTGAAGCCACTATGGAAGTCAGTCTGGAGATTCCTCAGAAACCTGAATATAACCCTACCATTCAACCCAGCCATCCCACTCCTTGGAATTTACCCAAAGGAATTTAAATTGGCAAACAAACAAGCTGTCTGCACCCTAATGTTTATTGCAGCAGAATTCACTATAGCCAAGACCTGGAACCAACCTAATTGCCCATCAACAGTAGACTGGATAAAGAAATTATGGGACATGTACTCTATAGAATACTATACAGCAGTCAAAAACAACGAAATCCAGTCATTTGCAACAAAATGGAGGAATCTGGAACACATCATGCTGAGTGAAATAAGCCAGTCCCAAAGGGACAAATACCATATGTTCTCCCTGATCGGTGACAAGGGACTGAACACCAAAAAGGAAACCTGTTGAAGTGAAATGGACACTATGAGAAACGGTGACTTGATAAGCATAGCCCTGACTGTTAATGAACAACTTAATACATTATCCCTCTTAGTAGTTTTTTTTGTCTGTTCTACTTAATATGACTGGTTTAATTCTGTAATTAATACACAGTTATTCTTAAGTGTTGAAATTTAACTGAAATGTGATCCCTGTTAAACATAAGAATGGGAATAAGAGAGGGAAGAGATGTACAATTTGGGACATGCTCAAGCTGACTTGCCCCAAATGGTAGAGTTAGAAACATACCAGGGGATTCCAATTCAATCCCATCAAGGTGGCATGTACCAAAGCCATCTCACTAGTCCAAGTGATCAATTTCAGTTCACAGTGGATCATAATGAAAGGACTAAGAGTCAAAGGGATCACATAAACAAGTCTAGTACCTGCTAATACTAACCGATAGAATAAATAAAGGGGAGAGTGATGCAACATGGGAAGCGAGATACACAGCAGACTCATAGAATGGCAGATGTCCTAAACAGCACTCTGGCCTCAGAATCAGCCCTAAAGGCATTCGGATCTGGCTGAAAAGCCCATGAGAGTATTTCAGGCATGGAAAGCCAAGACACTCTGGAAAAAAAAAAAAACCCTAAATCAAAGATCTCTGTGAGTGAGATCCCAGTGGAAAGAACAGGTCTTCAAAGAAGGAGGTACCTTTCTCTGAAGGGAGGAGAGACCCTCCACTTTGACTATGACCTTGTCTAAACAAGATAAGTGTCAGAGAACTCAAAAGGCTTCCATAGCCTTGGAAACTCATGACTGGAGCATAGGGAGATTACTGATGCCATAAACAGGAGTGTCAATTTGTAAAGTCAACAACAGAAGTCACTGTGCACTTACTCCTCATGTAGGATCTCTGTCCTTAATGTGCTGTACATTGAGATTTAATGCTATAATGAGTACTCAAACAGTATATTTCACTTTGTGTTTCTATGTGGGTGTAAACTCTTGAGATCTTTACTTAATGTATACTAAACTGATCTTCTGTATATATAGAAAATTGAAAATGAATCTTGATATGAATGGAAGGGGAGAGAGAGCGGGAAAGGGGAGGGTTGCAGGTGGGAGGGAAGTCATCGGGGAGGAGGGGGAAGCCAATGTAGTCCATAAACTGTACTTTGGAAATCTATATTTATTAAATAAAAGTTAAAAAAAAAGATAAACAGGAAAAAAATTTGTAAAGTCAACAACATGAGTCACTGTGCACTTACTCCTCATGCAGGATCTCTGTTTAATGTGCTGTACATTGAGATTTAATGCTATAACGATTACTCAAACAGTATATTTCACTTTGTGTTTCTATGGGGGTGCAAACTGTTGAAATCTTTACTTAATGTATACTAAACTGATCTTCTGTAAAAAAAAAAAAAAAGAAGAAATTATCAATTCCCAACTTGACTCTCACTGGGATTAAACATGACAATAGGTCTGATCTGATTTCATCATCATTTAAAAAATCATCTATTATTTTTCACTTTATGTTTCTGTGTGGGAGCAAGCTGTTGAAATCTTTACTTAATGTATACTAAACTGATCTTCTGTATATAAAGAGAATCGAAAATGAATCTTGATGTGAATGGAAGGGGAGAGGGAGTGGGAAAGGGGAGGGTTGCGGGTGGGAGGGACGTTATGGGGGGGAAGCCATTGTAATCCATAAGCTGTACTTTGGAAATTTATATTCATTAAATAAAAGTTAAAAAAATGTAAAGCAGTCACATAATACTTTATTTTCCATATTGGAAAAAAAAAAAAGAAAGAAGTCTAGAAGCTATGTTGGGTCCATACCAAGCAGAGAGCAGGCCAGGAGCAAGCCACATGGAGCAAGTATATGGTTACGAGCAGTCACAGGTGGCTTAGCACGGGTAGCAAAGTGAAAGCAATGAGCAGGCCAATAGGCCACACGCCCTGAAGATGTGGGGCAACAAGGGAAGGGCCCACCATGTTCCTGGCCTTTAATTTACTCCCAAAGAGAGTAATCTCATTGGCAGGTGGATGTACAGGTGGGATCAGGTAGAGGCATGAGATCACACAGTGGGGTGTGGTCTTCCAGCTCACAAATCTAATCGATTTTATCCTATCTTCCTGCCTACATCAAAATGAGAGCCTAAAGTTGTATTTCCCCTTAAAAAGAACAAAAAATGAAAAAATGGAAGCTGCAAAAAGCCGGAGGTCTAACAGTGGCAGACAAGGAATAAGACTGAACTGAAAACAACAGCAAGTGCCGTAATGGATTGCTTACTCTTGTAATGCTATCCAATACAGGTGCAGGGGATTGAAAGTGGCCCTGTCTCAGAGCCCTTTGTTGTGTATTATCCTTCTTAGATATCCCAACGTGCTGTGAAATAGGTCACGTGGGATTTTACTTCAACTGAAGAATTAAAGTTCAGTTTACACAAAACTAATATTTACTGCAGTGATATAAGTGATAAGGCAGGAAGCCCTGGTATCAGATCTAGCCTGAATTTCCAGTCCTACTGTCAACTATCTCTGACACTTGGAGCTTCTCACTTTACCCATTTCTTTCTGATCTGTAAAATGATAATAATGGGTACTTTCTGCATTTCTCCCTCTCATTTCTCAAAATTTTCTGCTTCTTTTGCATGAAGTCTCTGGAATTTAATTTGGCCACACCTGCCATAATCCTTGCCCTGGCTTTTCCTTGGAATTTGTCTCCAGCTCAAAGTCTCCTTCACCAAGGCAGGGCAGAAAGCACCACTTGGTGCCATTGCCAGTTGCCAATGCTCCAGCTGACAGCCAACCCGGCAAAGGCCCTTGCAGATGAGCCGGTGCACATCCGGGTAACAGGTCTGCCCTCATCCCAGGTGGTGACCATCAAGGCTTCGCTGAAAGATGAGAAGGGGAATCTGTTCCAGTCCAAAGCCTTCTACAGGGCTAACGAGGCTGGTGAGGTAGACCTGGCAGAGGCTCCTGCATTTGGAGGAGACTACGTGGGGGTCCATCCAATGGGTCTCTTCTGGTCTTTGAAGCCTGAGAGGGCTCTCCGGAGGCTGCTCAAACAGGATGTGATGAGCAGCCCCTTTTGGGTCACTCTGGAGCTATATGACTCAGTTTGCATCCAGGATTCTGCCACGGTTTTGCCCAGGGCCAGCCAGATGGTGCAGCGCTGGTTCTCGGGTCCAGGGGTGCAGCGGCAGCAGATCCGAGAAGGTCGAGTGCGAGGGACATTTTTCCTTCCTTCAGGTGAGACCAGTCTTTGGTGATTTAGGAAACATAGTTGAAGGAAACTGAAAGAAAAACAAATGACATGAAATTGTTGCAGAACAAGCATTTCCCACAATAATGCAAAACTAATGTACTAGTGTATGTGAGAGAGATGGAGTTAATTTTGCTTAGCCTGTGATTTCACTGCTATGTACCTGATCTTCTTTTCACTCATTTTGATCTTTTTGTTTCCTCTCTTTGTTGCTCTCAGGAGAAGGCCCTTTCCCAGGAGTCATTGATATGTTTGGAGGCATTGGGGGTCTGGTGGAATTTCGGGCCAGTCTTCTGGCTGCCCATGGCTTTGCGGTGCTGGCATTAGCATATTTTGCCTATGAAGACCTGCCTGACAAATTGCTGGAGGTGGACTTGGAATATTTTGAGGAAGCTGCCAATTTTCTACTAGCTCATCCCAAGGTATTTGAAATGCTTCTCATTTTCCCTTACAATATTACAGAAGAAAAATCACAAATGTCTGCTCTGTTTTACAGTCTGTGCAGGATCAGGCTCAGCAAAGTTGACACTGGAATGAGAATGATAGTATCTACCTTGTAGGATTGCTGAATTGGTGAGTGATTAGCACTGGAACTTAGGAGACAATACAGGTGGACATATGATTAATTTCAGTGGAAAAAAGTTAAAATCCTTTACATTTGAAGTACTTATAACTTATTCAGCATGGCTGTTCAATGTTTTTGCAGTCACTGATTACACATCGAAAATCCTCTGGCTTGAACATATTTTCCAACTTCAGTGGTTATCTGCATGGGGCGAGCTACACCAAGGGCTCCCAAGACAAAGAACAATGCAGAAGTCCAGTACTAGAGCTGAAACACACACCCAGAGCAAGACAGTCAGCAAAATTGACTTGTCTGCATCATCTGATTAGCTGCATTAGACCTTCAGTTAGTTCTAGAGCTGGCAGTCAGAACAAAGCCTAAAAGAAGGGTTGAATGCCAGGAGACAGATTAGGGAAAAGAATCTAAAAGGAAAGGTCATTTTAGAGTTCTTATGTAAGTATAATCGAACTATTGAAAGCATAATCCATGCACCAGAGACCTCAGGAGCTATTAGAAGTATAGAATCTCATTCCCTATGGCTGAATCGGTTTCTACATGTTAGCCAGATGCTCAGATAATTCTTAGTTATATTGAAGTTTGAGAAGGACTGGAATAGTGCATCTATAACTTAGCTTTTTCTAGAAATTAGCAGTTGAATTATGATTTCACTCTCTTCTGGAAGTCCCCAAGTGTTGATATTTGTGTTAAAGACTGTGTTTCTTTTTAAAATACAAATAGAGGGATACCATATAACCAGGTGTCAGGGTTGATATGCTATTAAGTTAAACCGTATTAACCTAACATTTTGAAGGTCAAGAATGTTCACCGGCCGGCGCCGCGGCTCACTAGGCTAATCCTCCGCCTAGCGGCGCCGGCACACCGGGTTCTAGTCCCGGTTGGGGCGCCGGATTCTGTCCCGGTTGCCCCTCTTCCAGGCCAGCCCTCTGCTGTGGCCAGGGAGTGCAGTGGAGGATGGCCCAGGTGCTTGGGCCCTGCACCCCATGGGAGACCAGGAAAAGCACCTGGCTCCTGGCTCCTGCCATCGGATCAGTGCGGTGCGCCGGCCGTAGCACACCGGCCGCGGCGGCCATTGGCGGGTGAACCAACGGCAAAGGAAGACCTTTCTCTCTGTCTCTCTCTCTCACTGTCCACTCTGCCTGTCAGACAGAACTACTGATAAAAAAAAAAAAGAATGTTCACCTATCAGCTCTTTCCTATGGGTCAACTTCATAATGGAAAAATAGTAACACCAGCTAACGTTTATTAAAGTAGTATTTGTTAGTCTCTCTGCCAAATACTTTATGTGGCCTAATCCCATTTAACACTCAAAATAACCTTATAAAGTAAGTACTATCAACATAATTTTTAAATGAAGTAATGTGTCAAAATATAGCCAGTATGTGACAAAAATCAAATATCTTGACTTCTGACCATGTATCATTTTTCTCACTCCAATTCTGGGTAACTTTTCTCTTCTCAAAAAGACATAGAATATATTTCCTATTGGAGCATCATTGACATCTTCATTTTCAGTGCTGATGGAACATGATTTTCCTAAGCATATTAGGATCTTTTTAAATAACAGCCAAAAGGAAATTAAATCTCAAATAAAATGTTCTCAAGTTTTTCCCCCCACCTCAAATTTCATGATTTGTGACACTCTCTGAGGAAGAAAATCAAGTGCAAAAATCCAAGATGGAATTAGATTCAATGGATGAGACTTCCACCTTGGCTCCTTGCTACTGTTATAAACTTGGACAAGTCTTTTTTTTTTTTTTTTTTTTTTTTTTTTTTTTTTTTTTTTTTTGACAGGCAGAGTAGACAGTGAGAGAGAGAGACAGAGAGAAAGGTCTTCCTTTTGCCATTGGTTCACCCTCCAACGGCCACCATGGCTGGCGTGCTGTGGCCGGCGCACTGCGCTTGATCCGAAGGCAGGAGCCAGGTGCTTCTCCTGGTCTCCCATGGGGTGCAGGGCCCAAGTCATCCTCCACTGCCTTCCCGGGCCATAGCAGAGAGCTGGCCTGGAAGAGGGGCAACCGGGACAGAATCCGGCACCCCGACCAGGACTATAACCTGGTGTGCCGGCGCCGCTACGTGGAGGATTAGCCTATTGAGCCGTGGCTCTGGACTGGACAAGTCTTTATCTTCCCGAATCTCAGTTTTCCCATGGGAAGGACCAATTTAGGCAGTAAATGTAAAGCAATTGGCATAGAACCCAGCATATAATTAACAGTCAATTCACCTTGTCATCTTCTCCCATCTGGTTCTTTTTCCTTCCTCTTTCTCCAGATCTGCAACTAATCTCAAAGTGTTGTAGGTCTACTCTTGAATCTTTTTTAATATATCGCCCTTTCTTCCCTTATTTTGTTTTAGTTCATTCCCTCATAATTGCTCACCTATGATACTAAGATGGTGAGTGAATAAATTTTTTAAATATTTATTTTATTTGAAAGGTAGACTTACAGAGAGGAAAGGGGAGAGAGAGAGAGAGAGAGAGAGAGAGAGAGAGAAAGCAGGAGAGAGAGAGACATCTATCCATTGATTCACTCTCCAAACTGCCTCAATGACCACGGCTGGGTCAGGCCAAGGTCAGGAGCCAGGAGCTTCATCAGAATCTCCTGCATGGGTGCAGGGGCCCAAGTGCTTTGGCCATCTTCCACTGCTTTCCATGTGTATTAGCAAGAAGCTGGATTGGTAGTAGAGCTGCCAGGACTTGAACCGGTGCCCATATGGGATAATGGTGCTGCAGGCAGTGACTTAACCCACTGTGCCACAGGGCCAGCCCAACATTAATCAATTTTCTATCTCTGGTTACAGCCCTCCTCTCTCACTCTCCCATCCATTCTTCACATGGATGGTTTCCAAACATGGATGCACATTGGATTTCCCTGTAGATATTTTAGTGTCAGATTTTTGGGTACTCAGACCTATAAAAGGAGACATTTGAAAACTTGCATTTTAGGCTGGCGCTGTGGCTCAATAGGTTAATCCTCTGCTTGCGGTGCTGGCACACCGGATTCTAATCCCTGTCGGGGCGCCGGATTCTGTCCCAGTTGCCCCTCTTCCAGTCCAGCTCTCTGCTGTGGCCTGGGAGTGCAGTGGAGGATGGCCCAAGTCCTTGGGCCCTGCATCCGCATGGAAACCAGTAGGAAGCACCTGGTTCCTGCCTTCAGATCAGCGTGGTGCGCCGGCCGCAGTGGCCATTCGAGGGTGAACCAATGGTAAAGGAAGACCTTTCTCTCTGTCTCTCACTGTCCACTCCGCCGGTCAAAAAAAAAAAAAAAAACTTGCATTTTAGAAAGCTCTAATAAAAAAAAAAATTCCAGGTGGATCTGATGACAGAAAGTACTGATTATACTCTCATAAACAAATCAGATCTCCTTGCACTTGTTGTCCCTCCAGAATGCCCTTCCTTTCCTCACTTCCCTCTCAGACTTCTTGCCCCCTCTCCACTCTCTCAGTCTAACCATGAATTCTGACTCCTTTCTGTGTACCACTTCCTTTTTTGCTTGGACTAATGACACAATCCAAACGTTTAAAGAGTCCAGGCCTTGCCCCTGTGCACTCTCAATGCCCTCAGGATTAGCCCTTGGATTAATACATGAGCAAAACCTTTGTAACTATAGAGCACTGTGTCAACATGAATTGTACTTAAATAATATTTGAGACAACCTGAGCAATGTAATTTTTTTTTGGACAGGCAAAGTGGACAGTGAGAGAGAGAGAGACAGAGAGAAAGGTCTTCCTTTGCCGTTGGTTCACCCTCCAATAGTTGCTGTGGCTGGTGCACCACGCTGATCTGAAGCCAGGAGCCAGGTGCTTCTCCTGGTCTCCCATGGGGTGCAGGGCCCAAGCACTTGGGCCATCCTCCACTGCACTCCCTGGCCACAGCAGAGAGCTTGCCTGGAAGAGGGCAACCGGGACAGAATCCGGTGCCCCAACATGTAAATTTTCTAACTGAAGATGAGAGCTTGATGTTTTTAGAAAGCTCAACTTCCACTGCTCTTGTGATGCCAAATGCTGCAGGTGCATTAAGCACTTTTTTTTTTTTGGACAGACAGAGTGGACAGTGAGAGAGAGAGACAGAGAGAAATGTCTTCCTTTGCCGTTGGTTCACCCTCCAATGGCCGCCGCGGCCGGCGCACCACGGCTGGCGCACAGCGCTGATCCAAAGCCAGGAGCCAGGTACTTATCCTGGTCTCCCATGGGGTGCAGGGCCCAAGGACTTGGGCCATCCTCCACTGCACTCCTGGGCCACAGCAGAGAGCTGGCCTGGAAGAGAGGCAACCGGGACAGATTCCAGCACCCCAACCGGGACTATAACCTGGTGTGCCGGCGCCGCAAGGCAGAGGATTAGCCTAGTGAGCCGCCGCGCCGGTCTAAACACTTTCTATGTTGATAAGACTGCACCTTTGATGGGGAGTTTTTATTTTTATTATTTCATTTGAGCCTCGTAACAATGCTGCAAGGAAGCTAGCATCACCCCCCAAGACAACAAAGCTCAGCCAGGGGAAATTTTATTCTGTTCTCTGTCATGGAAGCTGGTGCTCTGAATGTCAGAATTCCATATTCTTTGATTCTTTGCACCATATTGTTTTCTGGCCTGCAGGACACTTTCTTCTAAGTATGGCCTGTAAAAGGGGTTCCCTCTGTTTTGTGCTTCAGGTCCAAAGACCAGGAATTGGCGTGCTCTCCGTGTGCAAAGGGGCAGAGATTGGGTTAGCCATGGCCTGCTACCTGAAGCAGGTGGTAGCCACTGTCTGCATCAATGGGTCCAATGCCATCACTGAAGTTCCACTCAGGTACAAGGACCTGGTTGTGACACCCATCAACTTGTTTCCGGAGCGCACACAGTTACACATCTCTGGGGCTCTGCGCCTCCGCCACTGCAGAGGAGATCCCTGGGAGCTGAATCGGCAGAGTGTGCTTCCAGTTGAAAAGGCCCGGGGTTGGATACTCTTCATCGTCGGAGAGAATGACGAATTTCTGGATGGCAGAGCACACGCGGAGCAAGCCCTGGCTCAGCTGCGGAGCCACGGCAGAAGCAACGGAAGGATACTGGCATACCCGGGGGCAGGCCACCTCATAGAGCCACCCTATGCTCCTCTGTGCTACATGTCTTGGAACCCAGGCATTTCCCTCCCCCTGCTCTGGGGAGGGGACCGTGTTGCTCACGCGGCAGCCCAGGAGCACGCCTGGGGGGAAATCCAGAAATTCTTCAGGCAGCATCTGACCCCGGCTGGAAGTTAATTCTGAGCAAGCACTGGTGATGATGGGGTGGGGCAGGGAGGCTGGTGTGGGGGCAAAAACGTATGAGGATAAGGAGGGATCAGATGGTGAGACAGGAGCTCCTGGGGTCTTTAAGTTCACACTCATCCTGAACCCACTGGGAGGAAGTGAGTCAGAGGTCAAGGGTGCACATGCATCTGAAGTAATTCTGATAATTTTGTTTGTGCTTTGAATGTTTGTAAATTGAATACTAGTTTATATGTGCCAGGATACACTGCTATGTCAAAATTATAAGACCCCTGAAAATGGCATAATCTTTTGTTTTATTCCCAGTTGGGGAAGCCTTGGATTCAAGGCATTGCTAATCCAGATGAAATCTTCAGAATTTTCAAGTTATTTGCAGAAATACATTTTCTGTCTAAACTGTTTTGAGTGGGCTTCTGGCACTTGATATGAGAAGTTCATGCTCACTGTAGATTTCCAGTTAGATGCTGTAGCATTTTTAAAAATCAGGAATAGGATTGTATTTAACCAAGCACCTTTGTAACATGTTGAAATTATGTGCCTTCCACATAACAAGTACTACATCAATTACTCTGTCATGATGATTTTCATAACTTCAATCTGTCAGGATGGTGAATTACATTCATGAATAAACTAATTTTGCTTGCTCATCTAATTTTAACAATAAATTTCTCATACTGAATGACGTTAAGTTCTAATATTTCTTTTGGAGCTCATTTGGTCATTTAGATTTTCTCAGAATTTCTCTCGTGTGTGTGTGTGTGTGTGTGTGTGTGTATGTATATTTAAAAGATTCACGTATTTATTTGAGAGGCAGAGTTACAGACAGAAGGAGAGACACAGAGAGAGGTCTTTCATCTGCTGGTTCACTCCCTAAATGGTCCCAATGGCCAGAGCTGGGCCAATCTGAAGGCAGGAGTCAGGAGCTTCTTCTGGGTCTCCCACTTGGATTGCAGAGGCCCAAGACCTTGGGCCATCTTCTACTGCTTTCCCAGGCCATTAGCAGAGAGCTGAACTGGAAGTGGAGCAGCCGGGACCCAAACCTGAGTCCATATGGGATGCTGGCACCATAGGTAGAGGCTTAATGCCCCCTCATATTTTCTAAAAAACATTTTTCTTTTTAAGCTTTTCACATTGTTTCTGTTTTTTATTTGCATGCTTACTCTTTTCTCTCTCTGACTTTTCAAATAATTTGTCTATTATATTTACATGACCCAAGGACAGGTTTTGGTTATTAGTCAAATCTATTTTTTTCTGATTCACTAATTTCTTATTTTTTAACAATAAGTTAATCCCCGCTCCCATTTCAGTGTTTGTTTTTCTAGATTTCTGGTATATAAAATTCTTCTTTTGTTAGTTTCAAAGTAGCTGCTGATTTACTGTGTGTTCCTGTTAAGCCCAGGATTAATTTTGCCAAAATGTCATCTGTATATAGTTTATTGATATAAGAGGAGGAAAGAAAGACCCCTTTTCAATGGAGGGATCAAGTAATCACAACCTGAACTTGATACTCAAACTTATCTGGGAAAGGGTCAATGTGGAATGCCCAACAGTGCTTGGAGCTACTATGTACAACACTGTTAACTTTGAGCTTAATTAAGCCCTTAATAACTACTATTGTGGCTGGAGAATAAATTCAATGACACCACAAATAACCAAATCTGGATTGTGGGTCAAATCTCATTGTGGGAGAACTGGCCTGGTCTCTTCAATGAGTTAATTGCATGAAAAAAACGAAAGGCTGGAGTATGCTGGGACAATTACATTTAGAACTAAAAGACATTTAGACAACAGATGAACCAGATAATATGTGTGGTGCTGGTTTGAACTAAGTAACTTAAGACATTTGGGGGGAAATTAGAGACATTTTTTATTTAAATATTCGTTTAAGAAGCAGAGGGAAAGGGAGACCTCCCATCTGCTCATTCATTCTCCCCACCCAAATGCCTACAATACCTGGGGGCTGTACCAGGCTGAAGACAGGAACTGGGGATTCAATCTGGGTGTCTTGCTCACTACTTGAGCCATCATCTACTGCCTCCCAGCATGCATTAGCAGGAAGCCGGAATTGGGAGTGGAGCTGGGACTCAAACCCAGGCACTCTGATATGGGAATTGGGCATCCAAAGCAACCTCTTAACCATGCCACACCAAATTCTTGCCCCTAAATTTGCATTTTAATTGACAAATAACAAATATATATATAGTCATGTGGTATATATTATATATCATATCTATAATGGTTACATTAATCTAATTTAGCCTACCACATACTTATCATTTTTGCAGTGAGAACATTTAAAATTTATTTTTATAATTTTGAAATATACATTAGTATTGACTATGGTCATCATATACAATAGATCCACAAAATTTACTCCTATGTACTTTGTACCCTTTGATCAACATCTCTCTGTAGAAAATTTAAATATGGACTGAAAGTTAAATAGTACTAATAAATTGTTATTATGTGTGATAATGCCATTGTGGTTATGTAAAAAGTCACTATTTAGGAATGCATATTGAAATAATTAGCAGTAAAGAGTTATGGTATTTGGGTATTATCTTAAAAATACTACAGGAGGGGCTGGTGCTCTGGCGTAGCAGGTAAAGCTGCTGCCTGCAGTGCCAGCACCCATACGTTTCCACTTCCAATCCAGCTCTCTGCTATGGCGTCGGAAAGCAGTAGAAGATGGCCCAAGTCCTTGGGCCCCTGCACTGGCATGGGGGAACCCGAGGAGGTTCCTGGCTCCTGGCTTTGGATCGGCGCAGCTTCGGCTGTTGCGGCCAATTGGGGAGTGAACCAGCAGATGGAAGACCTCTTTCTCTCTGCCTCTCCTTCTCTCTCTGTGTAACTCTGACTTTTAAGTAAAATAAATAAATATTTAAAAATATATTACAGGAATATGGTAATTATTAAATTTAGATGGTGAATAGGGTAAAGTATGTTATTACATTCTCTTTTATGTGTGCCTATAATTTTTCATAAGAAAAATTTAAAAAAGAGATAACATCAATGTATTTGTGTTCTGTGCACAGAGAATATTACTATGCACTACATCTTTTACTCCAGATTAATTTTTTACAATCACTAAGTACTTAACCACAAAAACATACCAGGGGACTCCAGTTTCTTTGCTTTTCATTTTTTCTTTTGGTCTATTTTTAAAAAATTCTTAGCTTTTCCATTTTGCCATCTTCCAAAAACATGAACTCAAGTAATTCTTTTAAAAGGTTCATGTTTATGTTCTAAATCTCAGCACCTCTGAGAATGTCTATATATTTCTTCTTTCATTATTCAATTATGATTTTTGTAGATCTATAATTTGATGGTAACTTTGTTGTCTTTATTATGGCATCCATTATTGCCAAAGAGAAGTCTGATTTTTGTTACTTTGTGGGATTTTTTTTCCTCTATCTCTATGGAAGATTTTTACAATTTTCCCCTTGTAGTTAGTGTTTTGAAATTTCACCAAGATGTGATTAACGATGGGCTTATTATTACTCTTTTAGTCTATGCTGCTTCTCACACCACAGGACGTTTCAAGCTGACAACTTGTGTCTATGTTCTGGTTTGACTAGGTCCCTTCCCAAGTTCAGGTGTTGATAATTAATGGCCTAAGTAACAGTATAAACAGGTGGATTCTTTACAAGGTAATTCAACTGTCGGGTTGCCTCACTTAGCCTGGGGTTCAGGCCCTTATAAAAGAAGCATTCTGTGGCATTTGGCCCTCTTGTCTTTCCGTCCCTTAGGCCCTATGAGAATGTTGCATTTTGCCCAGTTTGTAGCAACAAGGTGCCATCTTGGAAGCAGAGAGAGCAGCCCTTACAGACAGAGTCTGCCAGAACCTTGATCTTTCTTGGACTCCCAGCCTTCAGAGCTGTGAGAAATAAGTTTCTGTTCTTCATAAACTATCCAGACTCAGATATTCTGTTAAAGCAACACAAATGGACTAAGATGATCTGTTTGCAGCTTTAGGCCATTTGCTTTTGTAATTATCTGACCGTTTCACTCATTGCATTTTTTTTTCCTGTTTCTCCCTCTGGATCTCCCATTAAGATTTTGGAGCTTCTAGACGTACCCTCCACAAATATTAAGGTTTTCACATACATTTATTCCTTTGTACTCCCTTCTCCCACCATACTCTCAGAGAACTCCACACTTCAAATTGTTCTAACCACTAATTTGTTCTTCAGCTCTGTCCAAGTGCTATTTAGCTCATCTCCTGGGTTTTATTTTGATGATGATTATTTTTATTTTCCATGATCTTTAACTGGCTGTTGTGACAAGGTGAGGTGTTCTAAAAATTGAAAACTTCAAGACAGTGAAAGTAAAGTAAATGTATGTGAACATCAAGGAAACGTTTGGTACTAGAGGGCATCAGATGCCAGACACCTGGCACCAGCCACTGTCATTAGGCGGGAATAGGTGTTGATTGTTGATTGGCTAACTGCTTGCTCACCATGCCCGTGCGATTAACTGCTGATAACAGAATGTGGTTTTTTACCTTAAAAATCCCTCTGCTACTGCAACTGGCTGCTGTCTTCTCTGGACTTGCTCTGGAGAAAGGTGGTCACCAGCTGGCTAATCAAGACCCTCCCCAGTTTAATCTCAAAGTCTCGCTGAGTTTTAATCAGTGTGCCCCGCAACAGCTGTTTCCTAGAAACCTGGTTTTTATATGTATTTCATCTTTTGTATTCATCCTCTCACCAGTGGCTTTCATGAACACACCTAGGTTCTGCGCAGGATGTTGTCATTGTGTTGAAAAAAACAAACCAGGGCCCTCTGATTGGAATTAGGAACCTACTTATCAGCACCACCCAAAATTTAGATGTTGAAACTCTGGCTAAGGTGTTAAAAAGTGGGGCCTGCGTTTCAAGGATTTCTTTCTTTACTTTGTCTCTGTAAGACTATACTGGGGGCCGGCGCCGCGGCTCACTAATCTAATCCTCTGCCTAGCGGCACCGGCACACCAGGTTCTAGTCCCGGTCGGGGCGCCCGATTCTGTCCCAGTTGCCCCTCTTCCAGGCCAGCTCTCTGCTATGGCCTGGGAGTGCAGAGGAGGATGGGCCAAGTCCTTGGGCCCTGCACCCCATGGGAGACCAGGAAAAGCACCTGGCTCCTGCCATCGGTTCAGCGCGGTGCGCCAGCCACAGCGCGCAGGCCGCGGCGGCCATTGGAGGGTGAACCAACAGCAAAGGAAGACCTTTCTCTCTGTCTCTCTCTCTCTCACTGTCCACTCTGCCTGTCAAAAAAAAAAAAAAAAAAAAAAAAGACTATACTGGGATCTCAATTTGGCCTTGGCTTGATTTTACTAAATGTTAAAAATCTACTTTTAAGGTTGTCGTACTTCACTCAAATTCTGCAAATGATGAGTTAATAATTCACAGTTCATCACTATTTGGTTACTTAGCCCTAGACATGGACTTCATTGGGTCCGCAGGCAGCTGTGGTGGACTCACACCTGCCTGCCTTAACATATAACCCCTATGACTAATGAAGGACAGGAAAGAAGAAATGCCAAAATGAGAAATTATCTGACTGCACGATCCCTACAAGGATAGAAGCTACTGACTACAAAGAGGGATAATAAGAGGGGGTATAAATATTTTGAACAGAATTACATGTGACTTTAGTTAGCTTTGATTTACCCCATTCTGAAATATGAAAGAGCTTCACTTG